GCCGACCGGCTGCTCCCCTACGAAGACGCCCTGCTCACTGTGTACGGCCACCCAGTAGAGTACAACTGGCCAGCAATTCAGGCTAATGAGGAGTGGTTCAACCTTGAGGTTTTTAACAAAAATGAAAGAAAAAAAGCAGTTTCACTTGAGCAGCTTGACCTGCCACAGGAGTTCATTGAAGATCACCTAAATGGTCGCTGGAGCGGCCGGTGGATTCTCCTCTCGATGGGCTCTATGGGCTCGGCAGATGTGCAGTTAATGAAAAGGCTGATGGGCGCCATCTCCCTTTCTCGGCACAAGTTTATCGTCTCAAAGGGGCCTCGTCACGAGGAGTTCTCGTTGCCGACCAACGCCTGGGGTGATTGCTTTCTGCCGCAGGCCAAGCTACTGCCGCTGGTTGATCTGGTCATTACTCATGCGGGAAAGTATGTGTTTAAATGAAAAATAATTTTTGATCTTTTCTGATTTTTTCCTTCCCCTTTTTAGCAACACCGTCACTGAAACCTTTGCCCAGGGAGTACCGATGCTGCTGTTGCCACGTAAACAAACTTTTCTTTTCTGTTTTTTGAAAAAGTATTTTAATGACTTTTTTAAATATCTTTCTAGTTTTTGGAGATCAGATGGACAAGTATGTGCTTTTTGTTTCTGGTTATTGGTTTCTGCTTTATAACCTTTGTTTTTTTCATTTGTTTCAGGGCCCAGCGACTTCACGAAACTGGCTACGGTTGCCGCCTAGATCCCTACGATTTTACCGCCGATCAGTTCCTGGCCACCATTGACCAGCTGCTCGAGGATGAGTTGCTGAAGGCAAAACTGAAGGTCGCCTCCAAACGACTGATCTCCAATGGGCGACATCAGGAGCTTGCACTGGAGATTGAGCGACGGTGGACAGTTTGGAATGAAGAGAAGAAGAAGAAGGAGGAAGAATCAACAAAACAAAACACTAATTAATGATCACACAAATGTATTTTCCTATCCTCGTCCTTGTGCCCTTTTTTGCAGTTTTTGTTGTTTTGTCCAAATGCTGCCAAAATGTTTTACATTTTAAATTTTTCAGTTCATAAAAACCTAGATGATTGCATGCTTATCAACATCAAAATAATTAAGCTTAATGTTGCAGTTAAAAGTTGCAAAAAACTACTTGTACTTAAAAATGGTATAAAGT